AAAATGATTTTTTGATTTATTAAGACAAGGCCCTTCTACGTAGCCCTGGCTATTCTGGAACTCATCGTGTACACCAGGCTGGTGACAAACTCATACAGATAATTTTGCCTGTATTTAGAGTGAAGACATATACCACTCACCTTGCCCAGCTCTTGAAAAATGCATCTTGAAGAGAAATGTGGCTTAACTCTTCATTCCCCGGATTATAATTTAATAACCACCAATCAGAAAAATTTATATTTTGGTTTGATATATTTGAACCCAGAATGAGTTTGCCTAGAGTTACCTAAGTCCAGAGAATGACCAGGGATATAGTTTAATAAAATGACTAAATGGTGATAGTCTGTAGTGAAATTTTTGTGGCTCAAAGGAATCATACTCTTTTTTGTGTGTTTGTTTGTATGCTTTGTTTCTACACAGGGTTTCTCTGCGTAGCCCTCGCTGCTCCAGAGATCCACCTGCCTTTGCCTCCTGAGTGCTGGGATTAAAGGCATGCACCACCACTACACCTGGCTAGGAAGCTTACTTTTAGCCATCAGGCCTAAGCCTGTTTCCAAACAGGACTATGTGACCATGAAAGACGTTCCCTCATTTGGTGAGGCTGCTTCCCTCCAATGACCTCTGAAATTAAACACTTTTAACTATAGGTGCCTATCTTCAAATCTCTAGTTGAAAATACCGGCTTTCTGAGATTCTGAATCCACTTCAGCTATAATGGAGCAATCTCTTGAGACTATCAAGGACTTTGGAGAGAGACGGAGAAAGTGGTCATATACCGTTGATCTCAATCCTGAAACCTGTGTGATGGGTTTGTAACATCAATGGGATTCTCCTGTATTGCTGCCACACTCATGTGAGGTCTCAGTAGCCTGCCGGATTAGATTTGCTGTGAAAATGTATTTTATAATGTAGGCACTCTTATTCTCTAATGTTGTAGAGGATTTTTTCTTAGATATGTCTAGTGACGGTGACGGCACTTCCCTACTGTCACCTTCCATGGCAGCTCATTATTATCCTCCTTAGCATTCAGTCCCTCATCAGGGTCTGTGTACTGACCCAGATGTTTCTTTATGTGAAACAAATCACTCAATCCTTAAAAAAAAAATCTTTCTTTCATGTCTTTTAAATCTAATTCTTGGGAAGCTCAAGGGTGACTTATGTCAAATCGTGTGTCTATGTTAAAGATAAACAGTTTTGTTCTCTTAAATTTGCTTTTCTTGCAAAGCCTTAAGAGAAAACCTCTTCAATAGTAAGGAATGAGGAGGTGGCTCAGTGAGTAAGAGTGTTTGCTCTGCAATCATGAGGATAGGAATTGGAATCCTCAGCATCATATAAAAAGCCAGGCATGACTGCACTTGCTCATAAGCCCAGCATTGAGCGTGTGGGTGCAGGGACAGGAGGATTCCTGGAGCTCCATGGTTAGCCAGCCCAGCCAAGACAGGGAGCTTCTGGTTCAGTGAGAAACTTGGTCTGGAGGCTGAAATTGACATAGGGAAACTTCCACTGTCCCGCTCTGGCTTCCACATTGCATACGCAGGCGTTCTCACCTGTGCGCTACTGTGCACATATGCACAAAAATTCCACCATTGATATCTGATGCTTACATAGTATTTTGGGGTTTAAGAGTTGGCTATTTATAACCTTATTTCATTTAATCCTGCAATTCCAGGAATAGGTAGATTCACTGCTGATTGGCTGTAGAAGCCAAGAAATAAAGAGCCTAAGTTACTTTTCAGGGCCTAATGACTGATATGGAGCAAAATGAGAACTCAGACCTGGTGCGTTAGTCCCAACACTCATGGGGATTAAGCAGGAGGATTTTTAATTTCAGGCCAGCCTGGGCTACATAGTAAGATCCTAATCTCATCTTTTATGTCTTTGGCACAATGCCATACTTCCTGTAACTTCTCTTCGTTTTCTTCCATTTTGATTTATAGTCACCTACAAATGGGTTGAAAGTCTGACCTTTATTCTGTAAAGTCCCATCACCTATGTCACCATGACTACAGTGGTCAAAGTTGGAAAATAACCCTGTGAAATACTTGAGCCACTACCGCCATGTGGTTGTTTTGGAGTATGCCGGCTAATCTTTTCTTTTTTTTTTTTTTTCCAAGACAGGGTTTCTCTGTGTAGCCTTGGCTGTCCTGGACTCACTTTGTAGACCAGGCTGGTCTCGAATCCACAGAGATCAGCCTTTCTCTGACTCCCAGAGCACTGGGATTACAGGGGTGTGCCACCACACCAGGCTCTAATCTTTACTTTCAAATGAGATAACTAATGTGTGGTGTTTGTATCCGAAGCAGGAAAACAGCAATGAATAGGAATAGACCTCACTTTTAAGAGAGTTGTTTCTTTTTCTTTTTCCCCCCTTTTCTTAGCCAGCCAGCTGTAGTGCAGCACATGAAGTTTCCTCTTTGGACTAGTATTTTTAGCAAAGGTCCAACTTTAGTTTTGCTCAGGTATCCCTAGGCTATGGGGATGTTACTGCATCTACAGCTCTGAGTAACTGAGTTTCTGTGGCGTCAACCTGAGCCTCACCACGTGGGGTCCCTGCCTACTTAGAAAAATCATCTGGAACCAAAGCTGGTTGGCTTTGCCTTGGGTTCCTGCCATGCCTTGGGCAAGGGACATTTACCAGTCTTTTCCCAGGATATGCACAGCATTTTCCCTCTGGTCACTTTGCAGTTGGCAAAAATTATTTTTCATTTTTGATTGAAATTCTAGTCTAAATAGTCCCTGGCTCCAACCACTTCCCAAAGAGCCAAGATCAGACACTGGGGTATCTCCTTACTGAAAGCCTAGACTTGAACTTAGGAAATTCAGTTTCTTTGGCACATGGCTTTAATGATGCTGCCATACAAGATTTTCCTCTGCTGAATAGAAATGGGGTAAGATAACATAGAAGATAAAAATAACAAAAATAGTACAAAATGTAATAGTTCATACCTGTAATCCCAGTACTCTAGGAAACTGAGGCAGAAAGATTGTTGTGAATGAGAGGCAAGTCTAAGCCACATTGGCTACGTTAATGGACTCAGAGCTTTCTAGGATGCATGTGGAAATCCTGTAGTGGCACACTCCAGCATCCAGGAGGCAGAGGAAGGTGGATCTCTGAGCTTAAGGCCAGCCTGGTCTACAGAGAGAGTGCCAGGACAGCATGGCTGTCAGAAACCCTGTCTCAAACAAACAAACAAACAAACAAACAAACAAACAAACAAACAAAATAAAAAAGATGGATAGGGGCTGGAGAGATGGCTCAGAGCTTAAGAGTACTATCTGTTCTTCCAGAGGTCCTGAGTTCAATTGCCAGCAACCAGATGGCGGCTCACAACCATCTATAATGAGATTTGGTGCCCTCTTCTGTCATGCAGGTGTAAATACAGGTCAAACTTTTATACATAATAAATCAATAAATCAATAAATCTTAAAAAAAAAAAAAGATGGAGAGAAGACAGACAGATTGACATTCAGTAATCAAATAGAGCATTAGGGCTGAGATTCAAACCAAAATTCTCTTTGGTGCCTATTCTGTTTATTACATCTCATTTATTTCTTCTAAAATCAGTGTCTGGAGTTGTATATAGGAAACTTTGATCCTTGGAAACTGTGGGCCTCTTTATTATTTAAAGTTTTGCATGTAAAGGACAAGGGACTGCAGTGTTTATTTTCTCTCTTTTAAAATGAAGGGAGGCATGGAAAAGCACTAGTAATTTAGAAAATCATAGTGTCCTTAATTTTTATCGAGCTCATGCCAAATCTATTAGTGCAGTAAATCTTTCTATTAGCTTTCTATTTGTGCAGTAAATCACTGTGACCAAAAAGAACTTGGAGAGGAAGGGGTTTTTTTGGCAATGAGGCTTCAGTCTGTCATCAGGGAGAGCCAAGGCAAGAGCTGAAGCAGAGATCATGGAGGAATGCCACTACTGAATTGTTCTCTCTGGCTTGCTCAGCCTACTTTTCCATACAGCCCAGGGCCACCTGCTCAGGGCTGGCCCTTACCACAGTAGACTGGGTCCTCCCACATCAGTCAACAATCAGAGCCCCACAAACTTGCCTATAGACCAATCTGATGAAAGCATTTTCTCCATTGAGGTTTTCTCTTCCATATGATTCTAGCTTGTGTTAAGTTGACAAAAACCAAGCCAAACAAAAACAAAAACAACAGCAAAAACAACAACAAAACCCCCACAACTAACCAGCACAGTCATAAAATATTAAAACTTGAAGGTTGTTGGGTGGTGGTGACACACGCCCTTAATTCCAGCACTGGGGAGGCAGAGGCAGGCAGAGCTCTGTGAGTTCTAGGCCAGCCTGATCTACAGAGTGAGCTCCAGAACAGCCAGGGCTACACAGAGATACCCTGTCTTGAAAAACAAAAGTTAGGGCTGGAGAAATGGCTCAGTGGGTAAGAACACTGTCTGCTCTTCCAAAGGACCTGAGTTCAGTTCCCAGCACCCACATGGCAGCTCACAACTGTCTGTAATGCCAATTCCAAGGGATCTGGCACCTTCACACTAATGCACATAAAATAAAATTAAATAAATTATATAAAGGAAAAAGAAAAACGAAAGTCAACTAACCAAAAACGCTTAAATGTTATATTTTTGCCTTTATATAGATGTGGTTCCAATACACCATGTATTTTAACTATATAGGTAAGAGAATGGTTCAGGCAATTAATAGCAAAGCTGAGTGAGCCTGGTTTATGGCCACTGGTATTGTGTTTTACATTTTATCCTTGAAGAGATGGTGTGGATTAGACAAGCTTCCTTTCCTGTATTTTAGGAAGGAAACATCTTTAGCTTTTAAAAAAAAAAATTTTTTTTTGTGGGGCCCTGGCTGTCCTGGAACTTGCTCTGTAGACCAGACTGGCCTCAAACTCACAGAGATCAAGTGCTGGGATTAAAAGTGTATACCAACTCTGGCCCTGTCTTCCGCTTTTTACTGATTAATATTTCTTCTTCTTCTTCTTTTTTTTTTTAGGCTATTGTCAAGAAACAATGAGTTTAAAACCATTCACCTACCCATTTCCAGAGACAAGGTTTCTTCATGCAGGATCCAATGTGTATAAGTTCAAAATCAGATATGGCGACAGTATCAGGTAATTTGAAAGGTAGGAAGACAGCTCATGCAAGCACATGCAAGTGTATTCCCCCAGGTCATCCTCTCTTTGCCTTCCTCAGTCCAGGGAAATGACTGAAGTAGCACCTGGTCAGCTCTTTCCCAGCTACTTCATTACGTTTGTTATTGATATAATTTTCCTAAATTAGGGACAGTATGCTTTTGAGGAGATATTTTTACAATTTGGCCTCTTCTTGAAACATACATAAATACATAAATAAATAAAATTGTGGACTAGGGCAGGGGAGATTACTTGTCAGTTAAGAGCACTGACTTCTCGTCCAGATTCTAGTTCTGTTTTCGGACCCTATGTGATGGCTTCTCCTGTAACTTCAGTTCTAGTGGATCTGATGGCCTCTATGGGCATCACAAGCGTGTAATGCACAGACATACATACAAGCAAAACACCTGTGTACGTAAAATAAAAACAGGGTCTGGAGAGATGTCTCAACAGTTAAGAGTGTGTATTACTCTCCCAAAGGACCCTAATGAGATTCCCAGAGCTCAAGTCAGGTGACTTATAACTCTCTGTGACTATAGCTCCAGGGGATACCTCGTGTCTCTGAGGGCACCCACACAAATCTGTATACCTAAACACATCCGTATACTCATATCATATACCCACACAGACAAACATGTGATTAAAAATAAGTCTTTCAGAGGCTAGTGGATCTCTATGAGCTCGAGGAAAGTGTGGTCTGTGGAACCAGTTCCTGGCTGGCCAAGGCTACATAGTAAAACCCTGTCTCAAAAATAAATAAATAGATAGATAGATAGATAGATAGATAGATAGATAGATAGATAGATA